TTGTCAAGATCCGGACGTGCAACATCGTATTCCAACGCATTGTCAAGATCTTCGTCATTGAAGCTTCCTTGTCGAGCTCTTTTTCTTAGATTTTTGCGTGCTTTTCGAGCAGCTTCTGCCTTCCGATGCTCCAGGTCTCGGAAGCGGTACCATTTTGTCCTCTCCTCCTCCGGAATCCTGGGACAGACGATAATGTTGCTCAGCAACGCACGCCCAGGCTCTACATTCAGCATCTCCATTTGGCAGTGACAGCATTTAACATCGGGATACAGCTTATGTGCCTTGGGAACTGTCACTTGGCCTTCACTGCACAAGCCGTATGGGCGCCTTGGCAGGGTCTAATAAATCATAATCGGAAGTGGACTGCCGATAGCATCGCACATCCGTACAAATACTCACCGTACTGCTTTCACGCTCAGGAGCGACGCTGCCGTTGGTCTTATTGCGTGCGTCTAAGTTGAAGTGAGTGCGGGGTTGAAGTGAGTGCGGACATCGACACAGCCTAAAATTTGGATTATTTTCTGCCAGAAATTCAGATTTTTAGTTACCATGCAAAATTCAAATGCACTTTTGACGCACTTTTAAATTATACCTCACAGTGCATTACTTTACAATTACGCACGAAACGCCTGCACTCTGGTAGCACTTGTAGTCAATCCCACTCCTGAGTCGGTTGACTGTATCCTCTGCGAGGAAGGAACACCCCGTGTTCTCGAATTTGCCGACGGCGCCGCAGGACGCGTTTACTAAGATAATGTCCTTGCTTGGCCCGGAGGGCGTGATTAAACTTGCATCGCAAGGTCCAGAGGCGGTCACCGCCATGCTGGAATCGTTTTCACAGCTTTGACGGCCCGAGTGAATTTTGCGTCACTCAGAGATACGGACTTTTTCGCAGTGAGGCGAGGTGCTTAACAGACTGCGTGGCGGCACCTTGCCGACGATAGCTGAGTCGACAAGTCAACGTTGTAAAGAGCAAGTATTTTCAATTGTCGATTCAACGCGCGATTCTCAACTCTGGCGGCGTGAGGGTCAGCTTTGAGGTCACCAATGACCTAATTGCAGTGTAGTGACCGGTCAAACATTCCAGCAGCTTTCAGCTGTAGAAGCGGGCAGGACCTGTCTCTGTTGTGTAGGATCAGAAGGCGCTGTGGGGCGAGTGAACCCGTAGGCCTTCCGCCTCGCCAAGAAGGTCAACTCTTCCCGGCGTTCGTACCTTTGTTGAGTGACCAGTGTCACGAGAGAGTCAAGCCTCACCGGGGCAGCCAAGCTTGACGAATTGCTGGCGCCCGAAGTGGTGTCGCCCAGCCAGCTCGGTGGACCAGGAAGTCGCGTCCATGCATACATTGCCGACTCCACGCCAGGCACATGGGAAGTTATGAGGTCGACCAACCCAGCATCGTGCCGGCCACTGACCCCACGAGTGGTCGAGGAATTGGTTCAGCGGCCGCGCCTTCACCTTGAAGGGGGTCGATGGCGGAGAGTGACACTGTGACACGATCTGAAGAAGTAGACGAAGACTGTGAGGAGCAGCCATGTGAATAACAACAGAACAAGCGTACGTACCGAAAAGGTGATGGAGGACCGCGAGACGCCATTAGCCGAGAATGGACCAACGGTGGCAGAGCCAAATGAAGGGTTAAGGCACTCACCAGTTTGGCTCGTATCATAACTGGGGCAGTTGTGGTGTAGGGATTTCCAGATTCGGGCATACATCAACCTCGCCGCATTAACGGCTTTAGTTTTGGCATCCGCTCACACTGATGCTTTAGTAAACGACATCCAGCGCAAGCTCATTATAGGATGGCTCTCTGCTAAAACGAAGACGTACACGGTTGGTTTTCGGAGCACCACGGCGAAGCTTTCGGTGGCGGATCGCTTGTCAGTCCCATACACGTCCTCGCGTCCTCACAATGCGCCGCTAAAGCCATCCGCTGAGCGTCAATTGGATCTCTCCACCTCAGTGGGGCAAAGACGGAGAATAGATCAGAGTGGCGGCGGTCATGGACCTGGCATTCCAAAGCTTAGGAATGGACCAAGGTAAGTACTCGGCGATCTGTCCATAAAGCCGCTGAGCTCAACAATCGTTTAATCCTAGCGGAAGGGTCGGTAGAGATCTGAAGCGACTACACGTCACTAGCTTTTTGTATACGAAGCTTAGGTATAAATATGGGAAGCCAAAGGAACCCCTATAAGATAACAGAGCAGAATCTACCTACTCCAAGACACGTGTACACTCCTCCGGTAAGTCCCTGCATAGAGATGGATTATGCCTGCCGTTGATACCCGAGATGCATTGCGTGTAGAGTATTTACTGCTATTGCCAAGAGGCTAGGTCGGTCCGGGTAGGACAAAGCCCCGCTACGCGCAAAAGACCCCCCCCCCCAACTCGGCGGGCCGGTACGTCGGCTGGACCGGGAGCCGCAACACCTCTAGCTGAGTAGCCTCTGCGCTTGGTGACCTGTAAAAGCGCTCGCGCGCCGTCGTCCATCGTTTGGTGGAGATCATGGGTCTTGTGAACGAGCTCGGTCGATACTCAGAAGTCTTCTGACTTGATTAGTCGGAACTCAGTGGAAGCGAGCCACTCATCTGTCCCGGCTGGGTCGAACCGCAAGGGGACCACCCTTTGCGCAGGCCATATAAGCGCCGACCTAACTCGGCGATTTGTTGTGGTTTGTGTAAGGAATCCACATCAGACGGCATTTGTGTATTCTACTACACCACAGAAAACATTCATTCCCCCACCTGTGAGTTGTTAGACGCATCATTCTCGATATCCCCAGCCGCGCCCATAGCCAGAGGTCGCTTCTGCTCGGGATACGTCCGGAGATCCATGACCCTCGAGGTTTTCGGGTGGCAAGCCACGCGACGCCGAGGGGGGGTGACAAATAGTATACATTTTGTACACACTATACATGGGCCTGTTACGCTGCATCAGAAATGATGGGTAAGGGAAAGGGTTTATCATTCGGACAAAAAGTCAGTCTCTTTCAAAAATGCCATTTTAGGCGGAATTATAATTGGGCCCCGAATATTGCAGTATTTTATGGCTTATTGTTTAAAAATACTAATGTTAGATTATTTTAAAAATGACTGCATTTTATTTAGAATGATGACTCCTGTCATGAAAGAAGGCTTCATTGCTAGAGAAACCCAAGCGACTGATGCAGGCTCATGCGCGCCACATGTGCCAGACAGACCCTCTGCCAGAAGTGGCTGCCATGGACGCCCTGGATGCAGTGTTCGATCATCGGTTTATATACGGCGAATTTGCCGTGCAGTAGGGAGGCATGATGCCTCCAAAACAACCTGTAATTTGATTCAACCCATGCACAAAAAAATCTCTACTCACCCGCTCAAATTTGAAAAGCTAGGTTTTGGCGAGCCCTGAACGCATCGTTGCGTAGGCCTGCTGCTGATGCACAGGATCAGATCACATTCGGTATACGCGTCGACTACCAGTCAGGGTTTTCAAAAAGACTACTATTATTAAATACTTTTGAGTTTTGATCGAATTTTTTTTATTTCAGCTTTGTTTTAAAGGGTTGCAATAGTTTTTTTGTGCTCTGGATCGCCAATAACCCTATTGTGAACCGGTCTCAGTGAGACCGGCTCACAATCACTTCTCCACAGACTTTAAATGGAGCACGTTCATCTATTTATGGCGCATTAAACCTCCAACATCTTAGTATTTTCAGTTGGAGCAATACACTTACGGATCATGGTCTCAGTGAGACCGGTTCACAATTAGACTTTAAATGGAGCACGTTCGTCGATTTATGGTGCATCAATCCTCCAACATTTTAGCATTTTTAGTTGGAGCAATACACTCAAAGACCATTGTCTATTCTACTCAATACGATGCCTGCAAAGACCCCTTGGAGTGTTCCAAAGCCGCGTCGAAAGCCAGATTCAGCCCCGTTCAGAGCGCCAAAGAAGGCCAAGAAGTCACGTTAGGTTTCTGGACACAGTTTTTTCTTACTTTGGCCGGAGCAAAGCCAATATTCCATACATTGTCGGGGATAATTGCCCCGTGGACGGTGCTAGATGCAGGTTTCGATGGTGGGTTGTTTTAGCTATCGTCTGAACCTGGCGATGAACTTGCTTATCGCTGGTGACGATAAGCTGGCCACCAAGATCCTGTAGTTGATGTACAAGGTGAAGAATTCGCTATTGGTGTCCGCTAAGTTATGGTGGGTTAGATCAACTATTTTTTTTTCTTCTGATATCTGATTATTCTTTATTGTGCTAGGCGAAAAACACTTCTTCGACCTGTCCCTAAGCACGACACTCGATGGTCATCGACGTTTGCCATGGTGAACAGGTACTTAGAGCTGAAGGAGCTCATATCTGATGACATTGAAGAGGAGCTGGCTGATTTATGCAAACGCGCCAAAAGGAGAAGCAGCTGAAGACGATCCTCAACACTCCCAAGATATACGAATCAACCTCTAAAACGTTGCAAAGTTCGGACGACATCCCGCGACAGGAGTCACTGGACATCCCTCCGCCCTCATCACTCTACGACAGCAGTCTCTACGCCCCCACACGTGTCGCAGCCCACCAGTCCGCCAAAAAACGCAATAAAGGCAAAACCAACGCGCCACCGCCCGCACAGATAGCAAGAAGCTCGTGATTGTGACCGAGGAAGTGTATGAACATCAACGATATCAAATGGTACTGGGCTGGGTCTCGAGAGGTCATTTACTGCCTCTGGATCCCGATAAATACATGCGAGTCGTGCGTCATTCCATCCAAAGACGAAGACGACGCTCACACAGCCGAGAACAGACACAAGACGAAGACGACGTGCTGCTGGAGTGGTCTCCGTCCTCCACCTTCCCAGCCATCCCGCTACCGGACCCTCAAGCGGGCGACAGACCCCCTCCTTCCTCAATAAAGCAACGTAGCAGGTCCGACACGAGCATGTTAAGGGCCTCCACGGCCGATCGAGCTCATAATACGGCAACTTCCGTCTCTGGGAGCTCATTGACCGGCCCTAGATGGGAGTGGGTGAGTCCTTGGCACCTGGAAACCCCCGTAAATAGCCCAAAAGATGCGGCGACGGCTGGCAATACGCCTCCAGCTTCTCCCACTTCACTCCACGACCATCACTGCGTTCGAGAGGTCGATCTATTGATTACTCGAGTCAAATTCCCTCCCAATTAGATGGAGAAATGCCGGCTTCGTCTCCTGCCAGCCTGTCAGGCAAAAGACTGCGAGTGCGTCGACGTAAATGGGTACGTTATCGACGCTTACGCTCCGGTCGAAGTAGTCGTCGACTACCGAATTCCTCGATGAGTTGGCCACCTTAAATTTCACCGAAGGGTTGGCCCCCCCACCCGGGTTTCCTATACTAAATGATGGGCAACATTTGAAGAGCCTTCCTCGATGAGTTGCCCCCCCACCCGATTAACGTCCAATCACAGACTTGCAGCCGACACTGGTAGGAAGATTCAGCGATTTAGCATGTGGGTTTCGCAGAATGGTAGCTTCTAGTTGTGCCATTTGTCTCGTCCATCGCCTTACCTGGACTGGTTCTACGTTGTGTCGGCGAGCTACCGCTTTTATTGCAACGTTAACGCTACTCGACGTGCGCGACCTCTTCGGAGGGCTTATTGCACAGAAATCCGACGTCGCCAAGTACCGCTAAGCCGAGGCAGAGATCGGCAAGAGTCCTGGCTTTGAGCGAGCTTGTGTTAATGTGCTGCTGGGTCGTGAGGGATCGCTGTCTGACGATGAAAAGACTGTGCTTGAGCCGCTAACCGCGGAAGACGCTTCTCCATCAAGCTCGTCGGAGACAACGGCAGTAGGTAAAGGATTTGCGACATTTGCGCTCGAGCAGGCGAGACGACTTCGTCAAACCATTTCACACATTAGCGATCAAGTGTCTATGATCGCTCCGACTTCCAGCATCGTGGACACATTCTTTAGTCTGGCGAAGGCATGGTTGGCATGCACCGCGAAGCCATGACTCCACTGTATCTCGAGCGTTTCCTCTTTTAAAAGGTAAACTGCACGTGCTGGAGCGCAGCGACTGTGCGCAAGGTCGTTCGGGGAGCGCAATAATCTTACAATACTTATTCTCCATACAAACGCCTATGTATTTTTTTAAATATGGCCAATTATTGCAGTCACCGCTGACTGAGAGATAGGTAAAATTGTTTGCATTGCTGAATCATCCAACAAAATATCAATAGCATTTTCGGAACCCCTGCTACCAGTACGACCGTACCCTTGTAGACCTCCATACCTTCGTGTCATATGAAAGTCCTTAAGTTCATAAACTGACTTGGCTTCTCTGCTGCCAGACTGTACACGTAAAGGTATGCACGTCGACGCCCAGGAGCGTGTTGAGGTAAGCTTCCTGGTCTTCATTCTTCACCAAGTTGAGCAGCTTGTCGCTATAACTTTACACGAGTTTCACGTCGGGCCGGAAGTGCACGTTGCCGAATCACGAAGCCATCGGCAGCTGAAGATTCGACTAGCGCCACGTTGGACTTAAGAAGTTGTGTCTTTTAGTGACCGCAAACGGACGGGTGCGAATTATCTCGAGTAATGGAGGATTTCTTTCGAGTAAGGCCCTTTTTCGGCGAATCTTCGAGTAAAACGTTCCAATGTGGATTTCCTAGATGCCAGTAGATATCTATCGGGTAAACTAAAAACGTGGATACACCGCTAGCTCGCCGCAAAAAATCGCATGTTAGTCGACAGTGGAAACCAGTGACTGATAATGACGGCCTATACTGCCCCATTATGCTATCAACTGGAATGTTGGGGCCGAGCGACACCGTGCTCAACAAGTGATGCGTGCAGTAGCATCGGCACGACGGCTAAGCCAACAAGAGAAAATGGCGGCAATAGCAGTGGCATGCTTCAGAACCGCTGTACCGCGCCATCTTGATGGTACGACTTTGACAGACTGATTTTGCATCAAAGCTGCATAGCGCAAAAGGAAGCGTCCTGAGATGTGTGCGTGTTAGTCAAGTAGTTTAAAAAAAATCCGCTCTCCAATCAATTCACTTTTTCAATTTCCCTTCATGAGCCCAAGCCTCGTCCACCGAGTGTCGGTATTTGCCCCCGTCAATTTCCAACAAGGTATACCATATTTAAGCATCAATTATATGTAGAGAGCTAGCATCCATGCAGGACGACAACTATTTGTTACTGAAAACTCTGCCCTCCTAAAATAAAATAGATCATTTATTTTAGTGATCAATTATTGCAGTACCAAAATGGTGCGTAAATATTTCAAAACATTCGGCTCAAGAAAAAGACCTGGGTCAGTCCACAATTTCGACCATGTCCTTGCAAGCAGGAAAAATACATCCTGCAGCATGATTAATGCATATGTACAATAATTATTGTACACTATTTTACTGGGATAGCAGTATCCAGAATGGGTGCTGCTGCACAGCTCAAATCATGTTAATTCGCGTCAGTAACTGAAGCCGGTAACTGAAGCGGGTAGCTGAAGCCGGCGGTTAGGGATGCTCTTTACGTATTTGCGGGATTGCCACCGGGGCAGTCGTGGCTGCAAATCATGTTAATTCACGTCAGTAACTGAAGACGGTAGCTGAAGCCGGCGGTTAGGGATACTTTAAACGTATTTGCAGGATTGCCACCGGGGCAGCCACGACAAGGCAGCGTATCAGCAACGTGTCGACCCTTGCGCCGTACTGAGCTACAAGTGGTTCTGCCAGGAGGTCGAGCTGCTGCAGAGGAGGTCGCACGAAGTGGCAAGCGAGCAGGACGCGGGGGATACGAAGCTGGTGGCGACTTAAGAGTGGAGACACGGCAACCGACAGGTAACATGCGCCGTTAAAATTCTCTTAGTGCTGGAATTGGCATAGGATTGATCTTTGATGCGATGTTGAAGCACTTGGATGAAGACTCGTACCTCGTCTCAACGGGAAATGTACGGCAATTAGGACGCGATGAAGACGAAAAGAGTGGGAAGGAGTTGACTGGGGACATTGACGAATTGCTGTTGGATGAAGAGGTGGGCTAGACATTCTACCTTCACCACAAGAAAGGTACTAGATGTTTACAGCTGTGACTCACATCGTATCTTGCTATACTGCTTAGGGTATCATGACGGCCGATGACGAAGCTCATGCTACGTTGCAGAGGGACAGCGCATTTCAAAAGCCGTTTCACGAACTACACAAGCTAGTTTATCGCCTAAATACATAATGAAGCAATGACTCGTGCCTCAGCGCGTTTGTGCATGGAACGTCCGATCGGTCTCCTAAACTAGGTGGCGACAAGAACGAACACATCGTGGCACACATCGCTAACAACTACTGAGTCGTCTCTTAAAGGCTGGTAAGTACATCATCTACAACAACCTTTGGAACAAGAATGCCGCCACCTCCGGCAGTCAATGCACAGGCGTCGACAGTGTGGGCAGCTCGATGAGTGATAAATTTTGACCAATGTCTGGCTGGAGCCCGAGCCGGAGATAGATGTCACGACCCACCAATCGTTCCAACTTGGCCTAACGTAGCTACTAGTATTATACTCTCCACCTGCAGCATGGAGAAACGAAGACAATCGTGGCTTGGTTTCAATGACATAAGTGAAGCCGACGGTGCAAATGACGACCCGCTAGTTGCCGTGGTTGGTGAGAGGTTAAACCCAGGTCGACGTGAAGTTGGTGTACGCAGTGAACGAGAACGTCGAGAACGAAAAAACGAGTTGCAGTGGCAGCGGCAGGCTGTACGGATGGAGCCGCACGCTGTAAGTGGTGAACAGCAGGCTACATTGGCTGGTGAGGTCAGTGAGGCCGAACAACTACGTGTAAATTTTGCAGCCAGTGAGCACCTGTCGACAATTAGTGCTGCTAGCGACCGAAGCTTGGCCGACCGAATACCCACACAGCAACGTCAACAACGCGTAGATGACCACAGGAAACAGAACGATCGGGTAGGGCACGACTTGTTGTTTCATGGGTGGACGCATTAAGCGCGCGTTTGCGTCTTCTGAAGGGGAGTGGGAAATTTCTTTTGGCGCTGGTGCTACGATAAGTCGCGCTTCGGAGCAGATGACTGTCTTACCTGTTATTTCCACCGTTTGCATTAAGGACTTAAGCTCAGCCTCTGCAGTCACCTCTATTTTCGTTGCTCACGCGGTGGGGGGTTTGAAGCTAGTTACCACGCGCAAGGAGAAGCAGACAGAAAAGCGTGAGATACTGGACACTGTTGCTGCAGTTTGTGGCCGCACTGCCTTTCATTCATTTAGCAATTCTCACTGTGCTTCCTACCCACACAGCAATGCTGTACGACGACGCTACCGTTCGACGGGTTCTCCGTGCAGCTCACGAAGGCCAAGATTGGCGCGATGTCGCGCCATCGTCAAGCTATTCTACGCGTCCCACCGCACCTCACCATCAAGGCGCACCGTGAAAGCTACCTAAAGCTGGCTGCAGACCTCCTCGTACTCGAAGCTATCACCCCAGAACTTTGCTACAAGTGCTCGTTGCACACCATGAAGTTCCATGCGCGTGCGATCCAGATGAAAGATATGCCTGTAGGAGAATAAAGACAATATCAAGAATAAAGACAATATCAAGTTTGGCTTTGCTGGCTCCTATGTTCGATGTCACTTTGAACTTACGTTTTGTCACTTTGATTTTACCTATCGCCATTTTGAAGTTGAAAAGGTGTAGTGGTTGATGATTCGAATACTAGCATGGTTTGCACTACGTGGGGTCAACTTGCTCGCGATTACGGGGGTACACCGGTCGGCAGTGTCATTCTGATGAAGAATGGCACCTTATCCGATTACAACAACTTTTGTTCCGTCTCAGTCGGTGCTGGGTCCGAGCTCCTCCGTGACCCAGCACTTCCCCGTGCACTTGAGTTGCAGCAATGGTACGCCTGTCTGCCTCCCGATCATTCTTTTTCTCGTCTTCGCGTACACTGAAAACTAGCGTACCCTGGGCGGGTTTCAGCAGCTAAGAATGGGGTGCGCCGTGGAAGGTTGCCAGGAAACCGACGAGCTTAAAAAGATCCCGTGTACTGTGTGTGGAAAGCTTATCCAGCTATTGGCGTCTATGAAGGCAATGATTCGGCACTCAATGAAAGGTATCATAGTCATTTTTGTCCTATATTCACCTGTCGTGTATTGGTGAAAAGTGGTAACTAGGTTTTGCGTCCATTCTTGGGTGTGTAGCATCCGGAGGTCGTTCCACCTGCCTCGGCCACCGCCACTGGAAAACGGCCACTCAAGTAAGGCGGATTGAGAGTGTTTTGGGAGGGTAGCGACTCTGATTTCACCCCACCACCAGATCTGTCTGGTCGTAACGTTGACGACCGCGTGGTGAAGCGCCGAAAATCAGTGGAGTTAACTGAGGTAAAGGCCTCACAACGAAAGCTGTCTCCGTCAGCTCAAATCAAGGCTGGGAAGAAGAAAGTCTCTTCTTCCTCAGGATCTGACGACACTATGTTCACAGCCACACCGATGCCGCAGCCTATATCTCCGATATCAGATCTTGGTGTACCACAGACTGTTAAGCACGTGAGGAAAGCGGGCACTACAGGCGATGCCTGGGACCTCATTCACACTCTCGACGTGTCGTACAAAAAAAGCAAATCCTTGGAAGGCGTCGTGACAACAGTATCACAATATTTGTCGGTGGTACTGTCAGACTATAAAACCCCGCTCCAGAATGAGCCGATACAGCTGGGAGGAGGCTCTGCGGAACACCAAGAACCATGTAAAGCGAAGGATCACATAAACTTGAAGCACGCTGACCACCCCCATGCGGGTTCAAACCCCGGCGCGTCGGAAAATTCCGATTCGCTTAAGTACGAATTCGTGGCCGCAAAACCGACTGGGCCATAGGGTCGCAGCCGGTAGTTGATGTGAAGCAAGCGTGCACAAGGTACGCCACGGAGACGCAAATCCTGTAAGTAATTGATAGCAGGTCTTAGGTAGATAAGGATTGTAATAAAGAATCTACCTTGGGTAGAAGGAATTTACCCATGCGATTCTAGCCGAACAGAGTGCTACGGATAATTCGAAGAAAGACCTACGCACCCGTATGGAATTTAACATGAAAACCTACGCAGCAAGAAACCAGTGCGACTGCTTCTGACATGGCGAGGGGTGGTAGCAGGAGGAAGTTCTTTTAAGCAATTCCTCCGAGCGAGCGAGAAAGACTTTGAACTCTCTCGTTTCGAAGCTCTTGATCTCACAGGGACTACCGTACACGTTGTGCGCCTTTGCCGCTTTCCACGACCTCATTCACGCTGCTACTGAAAACCCAGCATTTCAAGTCCTTTGCCGTGACATACACGACTGTCTATTAAATGGACACTTTTAATTACTTGCGAGCTGGTGGGTGTATTGCTATCTACTGAGTGTGAGAAAGCTTGTAGCCATAAGTTTCTCTAGCTAATATACGACATCTGGACAAGCAGCGGAAAGGATATCGGTCGTCTTAATTAATAGTTTGTGGCGATTTCGGTTTATCGCGGCCCTCGCTTGCGTGCAAATGACAACCACAACGCTCTGGGGTTGCCAAGGCCATCGACAGTGCTTTTGAGGTACGGTTTAACCTAGCTATTCGGTCAATGACTCGATATACAATGTCCGACACGACTGCATCAGCGAAAAAACGTGACTGATCACGTTGACACTGAGTAAGAAAACTGCTCTATGCATCTATGGAGCCTATGTATAGGCTACGGGATGGGGCTCAAAGACAATATTTAGACTACGACTGACAGAAACGAATCTACAAGCTCGTGGGACAAAGCCGGTACTAGGCGGCGCTCTGGATGAAGGAGGCGACGTGATCCACAAGCTTCGCAACCTGAATAACCACTTCAGATCAGTACAACAAAGTAATGCGCTGAAGAAATGTTAGGAGGCCCTTTCATATCCAGAGCTGGAGTCGATGACTGACCATGATGTCCGAGTTGCCTACACATGCAAACTTATTCGAAGGTCTGTCGTCATCTACGCCGCTTTCGATGCACATTTTCAATCTACAAAGAACTCCACTGCTGTGTGGAGTGCTCCGATCGCTTAAGAGTGAATGATCGCAGTCAGAATGGAGGCAGCTACCAATTTCATAGCCAATCTTGCTCTGGTGGAGGTGCAGAGCAAGAGCCTAGTATCGTCGTACATGGTATTGTTCCGTCGACTTGCAGAGAGCAAATTAAAACCTTTCAGTTTGAGGCCATGATTGTTGAGGCTCTTAGCGCCAAGGATGCAAACGAAGCGAGTCATCGTCTGGTCACGAGGACGCGGGACCAGTTTTCGGACGCTGTAAAGACATGACTTCTAAGAACGCTCCTACAGCTGCAGGCCCGTTTTCCCAATGTCACCAGGCGATGGCGTGTGTCCTGCTCGATCCTAGGACTAAGTCCAGTGCCAAGAAGATTGCAGCCGTCGGTGATATGTAACGATAGGAGGAAAAGGTAATGTACAAGAGTGGATTTGGTTATATACGGGACGAGCACCGAAAGATATTCGCCCTGATGACGAATGAGGGGGAAATATCTCTCTTTCAGCAGTCGCTGTCTCAGCGAAGCCTATTGACATAAGATTCGTCACCTTTTCCTCGCCCTCATCAACGGATGAGGCTAACTAACCGCTACTGAGGGCACCCATTCGAGCTACAACAATAAGAGATGAGCTAAGCGAGACCGATATCAACGTCAGAGCTGACGCTCTTAAGAGACCGGCTTGATTTAGAGCCAGAGTGGATGGAGGTCATCCAAGGCCAGAACCCCGACATCAAGATTGGCGAGCTGTCCAAGGACATGCCGATTAATGCTCAGAGCGGGATGCATTACGCACGGTTGGGCCTGTACAAGCTTATAGATGTGCTTGAGTGGTTTCGAGATGAAGGAGAAGCTCAGTTTCCTTCTATCGCTCTACAAGCGCGTATCCATATCCGCAAAATATAGTCATCAGCGTATCAAGATAGGGTGTTTTCAACTAGAGGGGTAGTTATGAAGCCTCTTAGGGCAAGGACGGATAGCAGATGAGCGGAGAGGCAGCTTCTGTTGCGGCACAACAGGGATAAAATAATGAAGATGAAGCAGGACACTGGCAAGTCGAAAAAATCAAAAAGACAGACATAGCAGTTGAAACAGTATACTAATTTGACTACTACCACTGCCACTGTGTAGAAGTTCTACTACAATGCAGTGAGGCAAAGCCATTTTCTGGAGGCAAAAGAGACTATTAGCAACTGCTTTCGCCATACTCGGATTGCCTTTAATGCAGTCGATGAAAACGGCAAGGACACCAGCGCATCCAGCTACGATAGAAACTTAGATACAGAGGACATTGTCATACACGCTTCTCAGCTGAGCATTCAGAGGCAGAAACCCCTTAATAAAAGCTGGAAAGGTTCGGACCATGGTACCGGATTGACCAGCGCTTACTGTAGTATCAATATCCGTACAGTCCCGATATTCCCGGTAATACTACTACCTTTTTTTACGCTACTACCGCCCTGTGGACACTTCCACAATCAATACTAGAGGGTTGGGCTGGTAGTGCTTAACAAGGTGGTAAAAAAAATGAAAGTAGGAAAAATTGACCGAATTGTAATCATGTATCAAAATACTTGGGACCGTGGCAGAGGAGAAGGGGAGGGGCGTGAGAAGTAACTACCGTGAAGTGGGAGGAAGTTGTGTCCGCTCGAAACATTAGAAAACCAGCGCTTGAGTTCTGCGGAACGGGAAGTAGCCGGCTTGTAAAGGATGACAGATCCCACTCCGACGTTTATAGAGCGAATCCCCATGTAATCCGAGATTAGACCGTCTTTTATCAGAATGGTACGGCCTTGCCTTTCCTTTATTTCTTCGGCGATCTGTCCCCAAACGGTGCACAATACTTCAGTATCGGAGTCGTCTGCTAACAATAGATAACGTTTGATAGTCTGTGTGGTGTAGTGATTTCTCCGTAGTTGCGGATTATCACCCGTCGACAAAGACGTGACACCGCTTAAGATGTTCAAGCGACGAACCCTCGGTCATGTGATGTACGAAGACGCCAAGGTGCAAGGGACTCGACGGCGTCACTACCGAGCTTTCAATGGATATTGGATACGGTTTAAATGTCACTGAATCCAGGCTGTCCTTATTAATAATAATGAACTGGCCAGATTTGCATTCAGCGGACCATCTACGGTACGAACCCTTAGTGGCGGTTGGGATGAGTCCGCGGAAGCCTCAGCGACCCTTGGAAGGCACGTACACCGTCTGAGACAGGGCGCGGACCGTTAAAGATGCTCGTGCGACGGTGCAGACGACGCTTGGCGTGCAAGAACATCCATAACGGATCATTGTTCACTTGATATTTGTATACTTGATTAGGACTTCTTATTAGGAATAGACCCGAAAGGGTAAGCTTAAATACAGAACAGAATTTCCACTCAAGCACAAGAGCGACGTCCGGCTTCAAGGTAAGCGTCAGGTCAAGCTTGTTTGAGTGTGTTATGCCTGTCGGTGAACTCGAAGCTCTGTATCGAGGGTTCATCCGGCAAGGCCAAGAGACTTTGTGTATTGGCCGATTAC